GGACTGCAACATGCACAAATATTGAACTATTCAAACTCATTTTATTTTATACATGTACCAATAAAAAAAAATGGAAAACTGATCAAAAATTCGCTCCTTTCAAAGTTTGTTCGAACAACTTCCAGAAATATTATCAGTATATCTCCTAATGACTACTGTTGTATGTGTGCAACTTGTGTGTATCTGGTCAACCCCTAAAATTTTGCATAAATGTATTCAAATTGAAGTGAAACAATCACGATACTAATCATCAAATTGCTTTAGCTGGATTTACTGTGAGAAAAAACAAGAACTTGTTGCTGCGCCTTTGCCAAGGTTGCAAGAGACAAGTTTTGAGAAAATAATTCAAACTCTCTTGAATGATATGATATCTGGACACATTCATCAACTGTTGTAGGTATTCTGACTCAAAGAATCAAACAAGTTGCATTGAGGATGCTGGCCTGGCCAAGAACTTCCACCTAATAACAAAACATAGATTTCTCCAACAAACAACGAAATCAAACTTTCCATTCAATTGATAACAAATGTATTGGAGTCTATTTTCGGTAGCAAAGTGAAGAAACAGACTAAGGAAGCTGGCATACACAAATGTGAGGTGTGCATGTCGCATGTCGATTTTAGTCCAAATAAACATGAAAAATCAACATTTGAAACTTTTCTCTGGCATATGCCTGGAATGATTTCATTCAAATTTGGTATTGATACAAAATGGTTGGCTGGTGGTCATGGTGCTCTACCCATATTTGACTTTTTGCCATTTTTGTGGGAAAAAATATTAAATAAAAAAAAAGATACTTGAACATGCGTGTGCTAGAAAGTAATCAATGCCAAGAATGCCGTATTTGTTTCTTGATCATGACTGCTGTGCTAAACCAGCAGAAATATGTGAATTGTGTCACTCAGTATTGTGAATTGATTCAAAATGGTTGACTGGCAGCATGGCATGTTTTTAGTTTCATGTTCCTGTATTATTTGTCAGACATACCCTCACAGATTTTGTTCAAAATAGTTTGAAAGACAAGACAAGATATACAGTAATGTTATTATTGACCTTTGAATTGACTGGTGGTCATTTTAGTCAACATGATATGAACTGTTTAACAGGTGTAGTCCAGTTTCACTCAAATTTAATTGGCGTAGTGATGCACATAGTATATATTCACTATTTGATTCCAAATGGCCAACTGGTGGTCACGTTGGTTTTATTTTTACATATCCATAACTATTGCTTAGATGTTTCCTATTATTTTATCTATTGAAAATAATATTGTAGTATGGAAAAATAAATCTTCATATTATTATTATTAGTTTAGATGTATGTATGAAAACAGGAAGTTGTGGACTGTTGTCCAACTGGTATGCGTTCATCCCCACCCTCTCTTCGTCTATCTGAGCCAATCACATTCAAACTTCACACGTACCTCATCACAGACATATGCATGGTAGCCATTTTTTACTCCCGTGTGCGAAGCACAAAAGGGAGTCTTTGCAGTTACCCTGTATGTATGTATGTCACTTTTTTGTTCTACCGTTATCTCAAGAACCACTAATCAAATTTTGGTGAAACTTGGTACATAGATGCTCTGGGATAATGCGCAGAGTTGATTAGGTTTTGGTAAATAACCATGAATATTAATTACCTAATTTGCATGATAATTAACTGATTTTAAGCTGTTTTATGACTGTTCCACTGATATTTGAAGAACCACTCATTGGATTTTGATGAAACTTGGCACATGGATGCTCAGAACTAATGTGCAGATTTGATTAGTTTTAGGTAAAAATCTGTTTATATTAATTACCTAATTTGCATAATGATTAATAAATTTTCGGCTTTTCTACTGATATCTCAAGTACTAATCATAACATTTCAATAAAACTTGGTACATAGATGTCATATGACACTGCACAGACCTGATAGTTTTTAGGGTAATATCAGTACATATTAATTACCTAATTTGCATAATTAATTTATTTTCAGCTTTTGGTATTTCGAGTAGTAATGATCACGTTTCAATGAAACTTGGTACATAGTTACTTGAGGACTGCAGAGACCTAATTATTTTTTGGGTAAATATTTGTGCATATTAATCACCTTATTAGCATAATTAGTTAATTTTCACCTGATATCTCAAGTACTAATCATCACATTTCAATGAGACTTGCGACATAGGTCTTCTAGGACTATGCAGAGACCTAATTTATTTTGGGATAAATAATTGTGCATATTAATTACCCGATTTGCATAATTAGTTAATTTTTTGCTGTTCTATGGCTGTTGCACTGATGTCTTATAAACTTTTAAAGAGTACCTACCCATAACATTTCAATGAACCTAGGACTATACACCATATTAGTTTTTGGTAAATATTTATGCTTCTTAATCACCTTATTAACATAATTAATACTGATATCTCAAGTATTGATCATCACATTTGAATAAAACTAGGTACATAAATGCTCTAGGACAATAGACAGCCTGATTAATTTTGGGTTAAAATCTGTTCATATTAATTCTCTAATTAGCATAATAATTAATAATTTTTTGGTTCTAATCACATTTCAATGAAATTTTGTACATTGTGCAGACCAGGGTTCTCCACGGTTTGAAAATTAAACAGGGCGCGTCAA